CCATAAAAGGAGTTAGCTTTTTTACATATTAAGTAAGAAATTAAAAAAAGGAGTTAGCCCGATTTTTGCACATCTTTTAAAACAAAGCAAAGAACTTAAATTCAAAAATATCAAGAAAAAATAAAATATTAGAGTAGGTATAAAAAATTAGATTATTTAAAAAAGATTTATTTATGAGGTAGATAAAATATTACAGTATAAAAAATTAGATTGTTAAAAAAATATTTATTTATGAGGTAGATTGTTGTAGTAGGAATGATAATCAGTTGGGATGCAGATTTTTAGGTCTTGAAGATCTTGGAACTTTCTGATGGTTAGTGGCAATCTATCAGAATGCAAGTTCGGCAGCTGAGCAAACTCCTTTGGATTAGTCATTTTTTCACGCCGTTGGGGAAGTAACTTCCATTCTTCTTCAAAATTTACTTTATAAAACACGTCACCATTTGCCGTATATTTCAGGGCCCTGATTTCATTAACCTTTAAAAAAATTTTTAAATATTTACTACCCTACCTATCAAAGGTGAAAAAAAAAATTTACCTTGAGATCCCCCTTCATTTTTCCAGGTCGAATGGATTTAAGAAATTTGACATCATCAAACGACTTAAAGAACGAATGTTCTAAATATTCAACGTTGTATGGTTTTGGATTTTTACGAGCACTTCGGCAAATACCAATGTATTCAGCAGGTATATTAATAATCTTATTTCGAAGTTTTTTTTCGATGGAGGCATGCATAGAATCTACCTCCATCTGTGTGTGGCCTACTTCAAGGTACTTCTGTTCAATAACGATGTTTCTGGTCATCGCCACATTTATCAAAGCATTTGAGGCCGTAACGTTTCGATTTTGCGCTGCGCATCCGTCGCTGTAAATCACTACTTTTTTGTCTCTGGTGTCCAAGATTTGTGGTAGAACTTTATCTATAAGAAAGTATGAAATCACAGAAGCAAATTCTTCAGCGGAAACTCCACCTTCTGTCTCATTCCATAAAAAGCAGTATGCTTCCTTAGTTTTTAAATCCAATGCACAAAAATTATGCACATTAAGTTTAGATTTGTAATACAGTGATGATACATTAGATTTTGGTGCTGATAGCAGAGCCTGAACATCAACTGCAAATACGTAATCTTCTCGGTTTTTATCCTTTTCTTTTTCAGCACGAGCCTGCTCTTTTCTTGTTGTGTGTTTCTTGTATTCCTCTTCAGATACAAAACCCAATTTATATGACATGCATTTTTCGCATGCGTCTTTTTTTGGATGAAATAATGATATGTTTTCCGTATCTAAAGTGTTATTAAATTTTGCCACTGATACAGGCAATACGTTGTTTGTAGAACACCAGTCCGAAACATAATAATCATAAAGCGACTTTTTCGATGTCCATTCGGGTAAGAGATAATATTTCGACGTGTCCTTACGACAGTAATGTGATTCCATTTTAGGTAACCTATTAAGGTATGTTTTTAAGGAATCAACCTGATTTTGAAATGGATTATTTCGAACCTTTTTTGTAGCGGCTATTTCGGTAGCGGAGTGATTGCTTTCTCTTGAAACTGCAAAGTTTTCTTTTGAGCACTGTTTCCAGTTCCAAACAGCCGTTTTGCCTATGTCCAGCGTATTTAAAAACATGGTTTTGCAGACCCGAAATAAGTTATCATTAAATTTTAGATGATAGTACATTGAATGCGATCTTCTTGATAATGATGTGTCTTTTCTACCTCTTGGTCTATTGGTGGGTATCATTTTTACAAGGCCGTCAACATAAATTTTCTTTTCTCCCCAGTTTAATAGCCAAAAACTATCAAATATTTGTTTCCTGGCTTCATCTGATATTTTGGGACATTTAAGAACACCATTTAGCGACGAACATGAACAACGAGCTTTCATTTTTCTTGCAATTCTTGGCACTTTGTTGTCCCACTTGTTATCTTGTTTTTTTCTACCAAAATAGTCTTGACCTTTTTCTCTTTTTTTAGCATTGCAGCGATCAAGCCATTGTTTCGCATTTACCTGGCATCTCTTTCTCCTTTTTACTTTCTGGTTCTCTGGCTCGCCTAAGGAATAGTCAGAATCAGTGTAATCGCTGTCAGAGTAGGATACCAAGGGTTTACCTACATGCTTTTCATTACTTAACTGCATTTTAGTAATTGTGGCACCTAAACAGCTTACTGGTTGTACTTTAACTGGTGAAAGATTTGGTTGTTCTATAATTGGCTCACTGGCTTCAACAGGAAACGACACAATAAAATTTCCCATACTATTGCTTGGTTGAAGAAAGGAAATATCTGGTGAATGTAGTAGGCCTAAATTGTCTGGTTCAGGAAGAATGCTTAATATATTTTCTTGTGATTCTACATTAATGAGTTCATTTTCTGTTCTGCCTTCAAAAACTTCCGGTAGGTAAGTTGCTCGTAGGGGAGAATTTATTACATCCAATTTATTAGGGAAAGGATTGTCCACCCTGTTATCTAGAAATATTATAGGCATGTCGCAAATTGCAGTTAAGTCAGTTATCATAGGTTCATCAAAGTCTGACTCGATTTCCCACTTTTCTCTTGCTAATTTTAAAATTTTGTCCGAACGCGACATCTGCAAAAAACATGTTATATAAATACCCACCCATTAAAATTTCTGTTTGTAATTTAAACTAAATTATAAATTTAATTGTATGTCCGAGAATTAATAATTTTATATAATAATGAATAGGCTGATAAACTTTTTCTAGACACTTTCCTATTTAAAATGGCCAGTTAATATTTTATTAATAAAGTTTGTTTGGAATAAAAGTGTACATATATTTTAAGTTGTTCATTTTACCTATAAATTACCATTTGTATGCAATAGGACTAATAAATTAAAAAATATATTTAACATCTTTGAAAATTAATGAAGCCACAAAAAAGTTAACTCCATTCAAATGGTTCAACTTATTAAATTCATTTCCCTGTAAATCAGCTAACTCCAAAACAGACTGTTTGATCGATTTTTAAAAGATTTTATTTAATTACATATTAAAATTTTTAGCTTACAAAAGAAACTTACGTACCTTGAATAATTTTTAACAATTTGTCTTTATTAAATACACTTAAAACACGTTTGATAAGGTAACGTGATAACAACCACATGGGCACGATTCCACGATTTAACTACTACTTTCTAACGGTTGGCGCAAAACGCAGTTGGCGCTTTTACCGTAGTGGGAGTCTTATGCACGGAGGTAGCTTGTTTTTGGGCGGGCTATTTGAAAGCTTTACGATAAAAATTAGGAGTTATCGGTTTGTTAACTGATAGATAGCTGGGTAAAGAAAGCAATAAACAAATAAAACGATTTTCGAAAAAAGTGGAGTTAGCTTGTTTGCAGATTAAGCCATCGAAAAACTAATAAAAAAAACTCAAAATAAAAATTATCTTAGGTGTATATAATCAAATAAGGACGTATAATGAGTCGCAAATCGCACTCAATCTTACCTCTCTTTAACTTAAAATGGCTAGAGCAAATGCCACAATTATCATGAGATAAAAAAACTCGTACTCAGTAAGCCGTGGAAGTGAAACATAGGGTTTTGCTTGTGTAGTGTCGGCTGAGAATTGTCATGAATGAAATTTTATCCAAATGAACTTATCTGTTGTAAGAGTAGTTCATTTGAAGCAAATTTCATTGATGGTAATTTTGAGCTGACACAAGTTACGTAATATGTTTTTCTTCCATGGCTTACTGAGGATGAGTTTTTTTTTAATATCATGATAAAAGTCAGTTTGTATTCTAAATTTCTAAACAACAGAAACATGAATTATTTAGTTGTTTGGAAGAGATACCTTAAAAAACATATTTTATCTATCGTCTTATCGCCTAACCTACTTCGCACAGATCTGCATATATACACTTCATCTAATTTATATAACGATGCACGTCATCGGCGTCATAGCCTGTGACGTCATATAATACCAACACGAAATATTTAGGGTTTAGGTGTGTTCTTTTTAGAATCACGTTACCGAGTACACTGGCATTACAGCTACTAGGCATATTTTGTTATATACGCGTAGAAATAATATTTAAAAATTTCTATTAATGTTAACTTAAAGAAATACACAATAATATGTTTCATTTAATTTGTATAAATCCATTATAAAGAGTTTTTATCAAGAACATTTGTTCGGAACACACTGTAACTGTAATCGAACGAAGGTAAAATTTTGGCATAAATTGGTAACACTTATTTGACAGTTGCGGTGTTAACACTTTTTGTACTTTATTATTTTGAATTTTAAAGTGAATACCTCTTGTTTTATATTTTTACCTATTTAATAAAATCTGTCCTTTTTAGAACAAAATTAGTGTGTTTTATTTCAAAAATGTCACGTAAGAAGTTAAATAGTCGTTGTAAAGAGATGGTAATACTTTTGCAATAATTATGTGACCTATTTGATTTAAAATGGAGTCAGGATTTTTTTATACTTTGGCAACTATGTCAACTTCGATCTCTGACGTAGATAATGACGTAAGTCGTTATCTAAATTAGATGAAGTTTAGATGGTTGCGGAGAAAGCGTTAAGGTTATCAAATAGTCATAAACCATAAACAAATGATCGCCTTTCACTCCTTCGGTCTCAGAAACGGTCATTTCCTTTTTCAAAATCTGCTTAAAGCGTACAGATTCTTGGTAAATTAATTTTTTCTGTTTTCGCCACCTTCGATGTAATGTTTTAGGGGAAGTCGGGGTAGGAATGGTAAACTTTTTTGCTTCTTTTCGGGGTCCTAAAATTGACATTCTATTTAAATATTTTATATATTGTTTTACCTTTTTTTTATCACAAAATCTTTGTACCAACAAATGATATTTCATTATGAAGGCAAACAACTTCTTCGCGTAATGTATTCATCATATCAAGCTTTTTCTAGAATGATACCTATTGCAATACTTTTAACTTTTTCCTCATGGCAAATAATAAATTTGCTAACCTATGAAATAGAATATTAAAATTTTTTTTGTTTTAGTTAAGCCGTTTTCGCAAACCGTCCGATATTCCAAATCATTTTATAAAAGAAAAAAGAGAACTGACTGGACACGTTAAACGAATCGATCCAAATGGAGGATTGCTAATCATTGAACACAAACCCCTGGTAGCCTTGCCTATAATACCTTCAGGAGATCTGCCCGTTAAAATTTCTGGAGTTAGAGTTACTGGATTAGGAACCACTTGGTTACAGTCTGTTGTTGCCGACAAGGAAGTTACATTCATACCTGTATCCAAAGACAAAGACTTTGTGCAATGCCAAGTTTTACTGCCACAAACTACTAAAGATGTAAGTAAATAAATAAAAATAATTATTTTACATATTTTTTAGTAAATGTGTAACTTCACTATTACTAACATGATTTAACAATGTTTCCCAGTAATTGACCCACGCCAAACTGTACCGTTTTTAAATAAAACGAGCGGTTCGAATTTATATAAATATATTTATTTATAACTTTACAGTTCGGTATTCTCTTATCAACTAAAACTAACTCCTAAGATCGTTACATATAATATATCAAAGTTACTATGTTCTAGAAAGTTCCCACCTCTAATTCGCGCACGTGACCGATTGCATGATACTATGACTATAAGATAAGATATTGCGCATGTTTTTGTGACGTCATTGGAGAGTTGCACGTTCGAAATATCAGTTTTTTGTATATATCAATAAATATTCTTTAATAAATAGTTTGGAGATATCCTTATGTATATGATTATTGTAATTATTAAACCTCTTAACTTATTTTCGTCTAGTAATTTCATCACAGAATGCATACAAATCCCATTTAACTTTAACAAGATTTCAAATTCTACTCTTCAATGACGGCATGCGCGAACCCGACCGATTTTGAGCTACGGGAAGATCCTATCTTGTTATTCATAGTATCATGACCGATTGTTCTCTTGCCTTCGAGAGATCTGGTGATGATTCTCGAAGCGGTTTAGAGATGCAACCGTTACATGAGACATGCCGAAAGCATGTTCGTAACAAAACGATATAAATAAAACTTCAATTTGATACGTTAACATTTTATATTAGGTACTTCTTGCTAGGTATTGCAGCGGAAAATTTGTACCTAATATGATTCTCAGTACCTACAAGTTTTGGCTGCTTCAGCCTACATAAGAGTTGGACTTTAGTGACTATGCTAATATCACCGTCAATATGCTTATAGGTTGACTTATCTTCGTCAACGGGACACAGAGCTTGAACTTCTATTTCATCTCGACTAACTACGTTTAGAATAGTACAAACGTAGTTGTGTTATATTTTTTTCCCAGGAAAACTAACTAAATAAAATTCCCCGTCCTTTACTTGCATTTCTTTTTCAGCAATTTTGGCAGAGTTCCTCTTCGTTGTCACTCGTGAAATGTTCTGATATATTGTCAAGACTTGTTCCGCTTTCAGACCATTCTTCATCTCTCTCGCTTTCGGAATAATCTATTTTAGGTTTTTTGGTTTTTGTCTGAACTTTTTTCTGATTTTTAATATTTTTATTTACAGCTTTTTGCTGCTTTTCTTCCTTTTTTCTTTTTCTTATTATAACTATTTCTTCTTTTTCTTTTAATTCTTTCATTTTCAATTTTTCTTTGTTTTCATGATACTCAAGCTACTTTTTTGACGTAGTAGCATAGGGCAGCCTTTTCTTTTTCACAACTTGGTGTTTTTCTTTCAAGGAGACTCTTCTGGCCAAAAAATGTGGTCTAAGAAGTAAGTGCTATTTTTCCGTTCTGTAAATTTTGGTTAGGGCTAGACATCAATGGTCCTGGAGGCGTTGTCTCGTTCAACAGTACATTGATATGGATAATATTGGTGTCATTTTTTGGTGTTTTAAGGTCTTTCTTATTAGCTTCCAAAGCAATAGTCTCGCTTGGACAAACGTCTTCTTGAGCGTTATTGTAATTTACTATATGTATCATTTCTTCTCCAATACCTATATCATCATTTGCTTTATCTTCTATTTCTCCTGTTATGTCACGTCTTTCTTCTTTTTCGGTTTTCACATAATTTGCGTCATCTTCTATTATGTCATACTTTTCTTCACATCTGTCGGTATTATCCTTCGCTTTATCAGCTAACCCTACCATCGTGTCGTAGTTATCTTCGTCTGCTACAACGTTTGCTTTAGTTGCTACCAAACTAAACCTTGCTTCTTATTTGTTTCTTATATTATTTGTTTTATTTTCTTTAATGTTATTCTCTTCCAAAATTCTGGAACGGTCTTGCATGCATTTGCCAAAGTCTATAGCATCTATATTATAGGGATATAATCCACACTTACGAAATCTGTATTTAACAGAATCCTCACTAACTCGCTCTATGGCATTTTCTAATAGAAGGGGAAAGGTTACTTTGTTAACTGGCTTATTATTATTTACTTTTCTCCAATTAAAAACAATTTTCCTCCAACTAGCTTTTAAGGGTGCAAATAAGGAAACGTCTGCCGGCTGCAGAATATGCGTTGCATTTGGGAAAAGTGAGTAAAGAAAAATTCCATGCTCTGTACAAAATTTCACTGAGATTATAGGTCAAATGAGATTTATGACTGTCCAAGAAATAAAGTATAGGGAATTTCACACGTTTTTATTCTAGAAATGGAAGAAGTGTGTTACCCACGTAACTATGGAACGTTTGACTTGACATCCAACCTTTTTTAGACCTTCCTGCAATTAATCAGGTATGAGTTAGGCGTAATGAAATAAAATAAAATATTTTACCAATGACCCAGTCCGGATTTGTGTTTCATACTATTTCTGCAGGAATTTGCTCATAGGGGTAAACAACCATAGGAGGATAAATTTGTCCCTCTGCTGAAATTGTAAAGAGAACTGTAATGCATTCTTTTTCCGAACCAGATTTGATTTCATAGAAATTTTTCATCCCTAATTTTGGTCCTAAGACCAAACCTGTTTGAGTATTTGTAACAAAACCTGACTCATCAGAGTTAAATATCCTTGTGGAATCTTGTAAGATATCTTCGGCGTTTTAACTTTCAAGGTATCTTCGTATATCTTCATGCCACTGCCTGATGCTGGTTTTAGAAACGTACGATCTCGCTGCATTTATAGATTCTTCGTGGCGCTGAGAAATCTCTGGATGGCGTCTGAGGAATGCATTCAATCATTTATTTCCCGGTAAGCCATCTTTGAAAGGATTGGGACGATCATCACTATCGATTATAGCTTTTACTGTTTCACAAAGCAGGTTTTTGTCTAGAGGAAATCCTTTATGGGCTGAAGCAGTGATCCAACGCACTAATATGTTTTCCTCCTATGCGGTCAAAACGGTCGGGGACCCATTTTCATTTTTCCGGGGTTCTGCATTTTAGTTTGTTAATAAGGGTAGAATGAGGAACATTATATGCCGACGACACCATGGTGATAGCAGATAGTTTAGAGGGACTTCAGAGGCTAATGGACAGAATAAACGAGTACATTCAACAGTACGGACTAAACATTAATACCCACAAAACGAAACAAATGATTATCAGCAAAAGGAATATAAACGGGGTTCATCTATACATTAATAGGACGCAGATAGAGCGAGTAAAACAGTATTTCTACCTGGGAACTATTATAAACGAACAGTGGAGCAATGTACAGGAAATATAGTGACGCATAGGAAAAGCAAGAACGGTCTTTAACAAAATGAGCGCCATCTTCAAAAGTCACAACATATCCCTTGATACAAAAATGAGACATTTGAGATGCTATGTTTTCTCTGTGTTGTTGTACGGGGCGGAGGCATGGACGCTTACAGATACCACTATTAAAAAACTTGAAGCATTTGAGATGTGGCTTTATAGAAGAATGCTGAGAATATCATGGACAGCAAGGATCACGAATAAAGAAGTTCTAGGAAAAATGAAGAAGGAACCAGAGATTGTGTTTACGATCAAACGCATAAAATTGCAATATCTGGGACACGTTATGAGAAATCAGCACCGTTACTCCCTGCTACAGTCTATATTGCAAGGTAAAGTCAAAGGTAAGCGAGGACCCGGTGGAAGGAGAATATCATGGCTGAGGAATTTAGAGCATGGTTTAAGAAAACCTCAACGGAGCTGTTTCGAGCCGCAGCGAGCAAAGTTATGATTGCCAATATGATTTCCAACATCCGAAACGGATAGGAACCAGAAGAAGAAGAAGAGGAACATTATACGTCCTTTCTGCACCACGTATTGAACATACGTTGATCCTAATATCCTCAATGGCTTGTAATAGGTCATTTTCTGAGTATTTGAAAAATACTTTGGCTTTCTTAACCGTGGCAGCCATTTTGCAATAATATAAAAATTTCAAATCAGTGATTGACCAGTGGTAAAGCTAGTTGTTGACCACCGATCGTCGGTAGTTGATCACTACACGGTGCCAGTAGTTAACCCCTGTTTTGTGTGGCCAAAATCTGGACAGATATTTCCATTTGCAATTTTAATAAGACAAGAACTCAAATAATAAATGGTGTGAATTGTAAGAGCAAACAAGATGGGAAATAGTCACTATTGCCGAAGTCTAGTAATTGACCAATGAGGTTATATACTAGATAATATTGTATAATTTTCAATCCCAGTTCGATTTTTTCCCAAAAAAGTCGAAAATATATTAAAATACTATCAAAAACCTTTTATGCTCTATATCTAATTTTGATTAGAATCCATTTAATATCGTTGTTTGTATATGTCTTTTCGATGATTACAGATTTAAATAAAACTGTTCACTTTTCACTTACCATGCTTATTACTAAGTCACACACTGTAACTGAAAATTGACAAGTCAATTTGTTTCGCCCTCTCGACGCGCTATATATAGGAATATATTAAATTATAATATAATATATATTAAATACAGGAAACCTATTACATAGACGTTAAGATTTACAGGTATCTTATTTTTAGCTTTAGAGCTATCTTTGGTCAATTACTGGTTGCTGGTCAATTACTGGTTAACTCACCCTATATAATTTATGTAAATATTTTTACAATTAAGGATTCATTTTTTGTGTATATTTTCAGGAAAAGCGACAAATCATCAACATTGGAGAAAGTTTAGTCAAGATAGGTTTCGCACTTCCTGAGCATATCGAAAAACCACTTTCCGAAGATCCGTTCTTCCTAAGATATTACGGCCTACTACTGAAAGCTGAAAAAGTTGCATTGCGCAAACAGTTAGGTCTAAAATATTACATTATACCCACGAAGAAATTGGCAAAACAATTTAACGAATTATTTCTCGCTCTATTTGTCCAAACCAAACAAAAGGTTCCTAAATTGATTGAAAAGATTCCAAAGGCATACCAATCATAGCAATCAAGGTATGACATAGTATTTGGTTGCTTCATTTTAACTTTACAAATATTGGGATTATATAATATTTTACTCTTCTTTTTTTATCCACACCATGACAAAACCCTCTGGGAGGATATATTGTTAGCTGTGGAAACATGATATTAGGCCTGTCGCTAATTTTCGATAACATTGGTAATTTTAACGTTGTTTTTAATGTGCGATAATAATTTGTCAATATTATAAGAACTGTGTTTTATTACCACTAAGTTTATTATGTTTACTAGTTCTTTATAAATATATCCGCTCTTAATGCTTAATAAGAAACAGTTTCGTGACGGTATGAATGAGCTAATCAAATTTTCATTCTACAGTCCTCTCTCTATAACGATATGCAAGGGACCGGGAATTTCCATCGTTATAAGGAGAGATCGGTATACAGAGAGAGACAAAATTCCATACTGTAATATGTATTAATAATACTATATTGAAACAATACTTATTTTAATTTAAAGAAATTATCAAAACGAGTATAAATGAATGACCACTCTATGGTACACCGCATAGATTTATTAAAGACAATACAGTATAAAAAAATGACTGTACAATTAAAACATGTGGACTGTACAATAACAAAATAATATGCTACTATAAAATATATTTAGCCTAGTGCCTAGTGTGTCACCTTGGTATGTTTTCTTTTCCCTTTCCACAGAACTAACCTGACCTTGTCTTTAAGACGCATAGAATCTTCCACTGCTTTCATATCGTCTTCCTGGTGGATGAAGAATCGGTGCAGTACTTTTGCCGCATCCAATGCCTTCTGGGGGGTCGGAGCTGATTCTGGTTCTGCTTCCACTTCCAGGTCACTGGTTTCTTCTTCTTCTACACGAACTGCTTGTAGGATGAAAGTCCAGATGTTGTAGCTACATTTTCATCAACTTCTTCAAAATCTGTTAGCTCTTCCGGTCCGTAGGTGATAGTAAGTTCAAACTTTCTGGCCCAAACATCGAATGGCAAGTCGTCTTCATTATCAGTCAATCCTTGATCTTAAAGCCATTCTGCGTGTTTGAATGAATGTTTTATTGTATTGCTCGTCACCTTGTCCCAGGATTTACTAATCATTAGGATGGCATCAAGAATGTTTAGTTTAAGATCGCCATTGTTCTTAACCAATTCCATCAGAAGTCTTCTCCTGATGGAATTGGTTAAGAACAATGGCGATCTTAAACTGATGAACAAAGTTCAATGTTTTGAAGGTCGCACAGCACATGATGAGCAGGACAATTGTCTACAAGCAGAAGAATTTTTTCCCTTTAAGCTCGATATCCTAACACTTTTATTATGAATAATATCTAATGATTTAAAAAGATATTGATTAGCAGTAGAATAGGCAATTGCTCCTTAATCTAGCTTAGAACGTATTAAAGATTTATACAGAAGTAGAGTGGATTGGTCTGAGTCCCAGTTTTTGTTATATTTGTTACATCTTAATACATTTAATCTTCCAGATAACAGAGAGAGGAGTATTGCTATTAATTTCCGATAAATACTTATTCCATGAAAATTTCTTAGCAGTTTTGTAAACTTTGTTTTTGTTGATCTATCATTTGCATATTGATAGCTGCATTTTAAAAGATAGAGGAAACCAACCATATCAGTTGCAAATTCTTTGACGACGGCGACTTTAATATTGTCGGGTGAACCATCAGTCATTAAGGACAATTGGTGGTAATTTAAAACCAAAAGTGGTGTATGATTATCAATAACATTTTCAAAAGTTTTCCTCGGGAATGGATCTTTGGATGGGCGCGGTTTTTTTTATTTTAGACGATTTGTGACATTAACAGATTTTGTGATGAAATTGCTGAATCTGTAGGAGGAGAAATGATCTTACTAAAACTGCGTTTTACTGAGGTACTTGCGTTGGCGCAAGTATTATCATAATTTCCACTTGTGACTTTATTACACTTGGAGTTACTGGAGCAAACTCATAAGTAATGACAGAAGTCGAGCTTTAAGTTTTATTTGTAAGATTGACTGAAATAGTTGTTTCAGAAAATTGTGGTAATGATCAGTTTTCTGCAATTTTAACTAATGGGAGAGGTGTTGATAGGTTGGAGGGTATTGCTTCCGAAGTTTGTGTTATCGCCGAATGAGGTTGATTGAAAGTGTTGCTATAACTAGTAGTATCGGAAATGTTTTGATTATGGAGATTTGTAGGTGAGCTTAGGGCGTTACTGTGATTCGTAAGACACTAACTAGCGATATGTCCTACCTTAAATATAGCAGATTAGACTATCTTGAGAAATGAAGATTGTATAGGAAGTATTTTCGTAATTTACTGTAAACGAATCAAGTACGACAAAATTATATGAACTGCTATAGACTTGTCTTCTGAAACTTAGTATGTGCCTATATTCCCGTAGGTTTGAATTAATCCTAAGAAAAGAAATCGATAAAATCACATTAAGTCGATATTTTTCAATTCATCGCAAAGTACTTCATGAAGAACAGTTGAAGATACATTTGAAAGTATAAGTCTCTCAGCTGGTATTACAAGTCGAAGTGCCTTTATCATCTTGTACCTCGATTGAGCGGTGGGAGTTCATGCGAATTCTATTATTTGATAAACGGGAACAGAAAATAATGTTTTTGGGTGCTATTATGCTTCCTACAAGGATACGGTAATCCTGAACACGAGCTCCATCTATTGCGCCGAAAATTATAGCCTGATCTTTCGTTTTGGAAATCGCTGCTGTGCTAAAGGTGTGGAATATGTCTTAAAGATGGTAGATTATTATTATTTCTACTTTTATATAGGACAGTCTTACTTCATGTCATCATGATATCTTCTTTTTCGTGTCAGCTCTGCTTTGTTTTCCCTTTCGGGCATTTTATTTAGCGACTCTATTTTATTGATACTGACGCACCCCAGATAAAACCCGTCAGTACCGGAAGAGTCTGGTACAGTAAATAAAAAGATGGACTGATTTAGTACAAAATATTAGAGAGTGTATTTATTCTATATGATTTTTAAACTATTAAAATTCTTTTATTTTATGCTTTTTTCAAGAATTTTTAACCAATGATAAAGTTAAGTATGTTATCAATTTTAATGACAGAAATAATAATCAGTTATGGTGGTAAGCCTACTATGTGTAGAGTGTATGTCCACCACATCATTTTCAGCCCTTACTGAATTAAAATTTGTATATTTTTCCGTTTAAACCAAAAAATAATGACTTCCTAAATATATCAAATTTATAAAATAGTTTAGATGACGAAATGTCCTTATTTTGTACAAAGGACAGATGTGCCATGCTTTATGGAGTGAAATTAACTCAATGTTTGTTCTAAAGTTTTACTTTTAAAAAGTTGAATTTTTTTCTTTATAATAAAACCACAAATTTACCAATGTTATCATTAATCTTAGTAATAGTAAATTATATCAGATATTTGTAAGTAGATATTTATACAATATGCAGCTTCTGAGTGAAATCAGTCTTATAAAACATGTATATAAAAAAGTTATGCATTATGAGAAAACGGCTTTTTCAATCAACAATGATTACCCTTTTACATTGAGCCTTTAAGACAATTTTTAAAAAGATGTTTTCTAGCCGCTGTTGACACATACCTATATATATATATATATATATATATATATATATATATATATATATATCTATATATATATATATATATATATATTCCGGAATACAAAAATATCTGATATAGACAGTACAAATTTCTTTTTGAATCTTGCAAAATATAAGATATAATACTAACTAAAACACGCTTTTGAAATCTAAATTGTTAATAAAAATTTCTAAATTTTTTTAGCAACCGTTAGATGCCCTTGTTGCTGTTTTAGTGTCATAGATTATCCTGTGTTATTGTTTTGATTATATCCGAATTCTATTTTATTAATAAACGTTTGTACCTTGCCGATTTCTTTTATTTTGTTACTCCTTTGTATAATAAAGATTCCACCCCAGAATGCAACAACTATAGATTAATTTCATGGATAACACATATAAGTTAAATCCTTCTACAGATAATACCTAATACATTAGACTATACCTATAATGTACCGCCTGAAAAATAGCTGCTGAGTAAGCTCTAATCGTAAAGAGGAGAGGCACGAGAGCAAATTTTGAATTTACGACAATTGATCGAAAAATAAAGATAATATAAAATGTCCCTATGTATCTCTGTATCGTGGAGTACGAGAAGCCTTCGATAACATCTATCTACAATTTTTCTACAGCCCAAATCGAGTATTAGCCCCCTCCAAACTATGTCTCCAATCTTGCTGGTCTTTTCCAGATTCTCACGTCTGATTATAGTTTTCTTCGATAACATACAGTGGCATGATACTATAACAACAAGATATGCTCACTTGCCGTTCTAATTTTATTCGACTTTGCGCATGACATCATAGCGAGATATAGCAGGGGACTGCAATTATGCAATTATTTGAATATTTATTTTACAAGTGTAAGCAAAACTTTTGATTTATTAATGCGATTGAAGACCTTAGAGTGACACATGCCATAACAGGAAGTTTTTGAGAAAATCAACTATAAAGGTTTTAATCAAATGTATTTTGAAGTATTTTGTCGTCTTCTGACTGAGATTCTTTCGAAGCTTCAGTTTTTTCTACCAAATAAGACAGCATTTTTTGTGCCAAGCAAATATCTTCTGACGCCGAAATATCGCTTGGCAATTGAGGACTGTCTATCGAGTTGTTACTTAGGCAGGATTCACTAGTTTCAATAGTATTGCGACATTCTGTAAAGATCGCCGCCGAATGTTTTTCTAAAATATACCAGCTTCATCTATATTTAAAATCTATTGACGAAGGATAATTTGCATCACCTATTCCTTGAATATAAGAAAAAAAGTTCTCTAGCACGTCTTGATTCAACCTCGAAGTTAAAATATAGTCAACTTCGTCTTTTGCTTGTAGGTAAGAAAATAACTCTTTCCGATCTCTATTAGTAAGCAATATCCCTTTTTGAACTGGAATAAGTCATTTATGTTTACCAACCCGCATTAAATTGACCATTTTTGACATTTCATCTAGAATACATCAAAGTAATCCTTGTTGATTATTTTATTGTCAATAATAAAACCATGAGTAATTACATGATTTCGGGCAAGTTTAATCAAATGTAAAGAATCTCCAAAATAAAAATATTTACAGACTTATCACAGTTACAGTGGTTATTAATTTGTAAAAACAATTCATCTATGCACAAATACATCTACCGGGACAGGGAATCCCACATATCGAACACCGTAGTACCCTGTACTGTTGCTTCATAGGTGACGTCATGCGCGTCGGAGTACACATTTCTATTCCTTGTTAAGTTGGGTACGTTGAGTAGCATATGGGTATTTAATATTTTTGATTTGTTTTTAATAATTCGAAGATATTAATTAGTCCAATTACTTCTTCTTCTTAGGAGCAGCAGCTTTTCTAGCTTTTGGTGAACTTGCATCAGCCTTGGCGGTGTTATTAGTGTTTTTACTTTGGCGTCTGCGGAAGTCGGAACTGCGGATGAAGATGACGCAGTTTTAGGTGCTGACTTCTTTTCAACTTTCTTCGCCTTTGCTGGCTTTTTCTCTGTCTTTAATGCGGTTGTTTTAGCCTTTGTCACTTTCTTTACAGATTTACTTTACTTTACAACGATCTAGTAGCAACTGCAGCTTTTAAATATTTTTTGATGAACGGTGCAACTTTTTCCGCATCTACTTTGTAATTTGCAGCAATATACCTACTTCTTGATAGCTTGAAGAGAAGAACCACCTCTTTCCTTGAGCTCTTTGATAGCATATGATTTGATTGCCTTTTTTTTCCTTTTTGGATGGAGAAGATGCCGGCGCAGCCGAAGCGGCTGATGATTGGATACATGATACTATAAATGTATCATGGATTGGATACGAATTACGTATTTATCATACAATTTATGTGGACGATTTTCACATTTGGTCCCATTGAAGTTAGCTTCAAATGGGTTTGACAGAATGAAATATTGGTGTTTCACAGTGTTGAAATTTACATTACAAATGAAACATATGCAATTAAAAGCAATAAGATATTTAAAAACTAATATGTAACGATTACGTGAAAAAGAAAAAGTAAATAGTTTTAAAACAGTTTTTAACAGTAAATAGTAAAATATCAGTATAAATAATACAATTTAAAAGGCATCTGTTGCAATCTGGCAGCTGGTAGTTTGAGGGTTCTGACTCTATTGCCAAATCTATCCACTAACCTATCAAAGGGAAATTGCCAAAAAAAATTTCTAATAATTTATTACAACTAATATCAAACGAAACAAATATTACTTTATTAATATTTTATATAAGGTATAACATTGCAGAATCTTTACAATAATATGATAAAAATGTACCTTTTAAAAGCTTTATCTCTTTGTATTTGAAGCATATAACCTATACATTATAAGAACATGGCAACACTGCCAACGCAATATTTCGTTCTGTGAAACTTAATTGACACCTAATTTGAGGCTATCTTCAATGGGACCAAATGTGAAAATCGTCCATTTATGTTTTTTTACTATTGAAAGAAAAACATGAAACCGCTAAATTTTAAATTAATACACATACACACCTATCAATTGCAGCAAATGTACCTTGTCATTTTTAATATTGCCTCCACTGCCAACTGCCACCTGCCAATGTCATTCATTTCTTGTCGTTTCATGGCCGTGACTTTTAAAATGCTTTTAAATAAAAACAAGAACAAGATTATTATATTTTGAATACATAAAAAATAACGTTGAGCGCCTATTAAAAAATGTAAACTTCAGATTGTTGAATTGTGATAATTATTGGTAAACATTATTTTTTTATAATAGGGAGTATTAAACTCTATGTAAAAATGCCAGGTACAAATTGTTGTGTATCAAATTGTAAAAATTCAAGTAAGAATAAAAATAGTGGTTATTCGTTTCACAGATTCCCTAAACGCAGTTATCTGGTAGAACAACGTCACAAATGGATTGTTGCAGTACAAAAGATAAAGTAAACAACCGTACATTATCTACAAGATTATTTAAAATAAAAATAATTGTTTTTTAGTGGGTCTTCATGGATGCCCAAAAAGAATGATGTAATTTGCAGCCATCATTTCTTAGGGCAAAAAAAGAGTAATGAATGTGCCAGCCCAAGTTATGTGCCAATGATATTTGATTCATCTCAATTTAAATCCAAAGAATTTAGTACAGTGAAAGCAACACAAGCAATTAACAGGTACTTGTTATAAACTTTGCAAATTCAGAGTTCAGGAAATATTAGTTTAATCAAAATTAATTGTAGATATTCTCGTTACAAAAAACGTGTGATGGCTTCAAGGTTTAATAAGACTGCAAATAAAAAAACACAAATGGTTACAGTTACAGAGAGTGATATCAATAGCCAACACATGTTAACATGTGGGACAGAGGAAGTAGTTTATTTAAATGAATATGTTAAGATAGAAGGTAAACAAGAACTAGATGTTTATAACATAACTTTGAAAGCTGTGATACAGAGGAGTTTCTATTTATCCATTCTTTTTCAGATGATGTTAAAATAGAAAATAATATATTCAAAAATGAAGTTACTGAACGATTGTATTTTAATATGGAGGATGTTAAGGTTGAAATAAAGAGTGAAGTGGAGGAATATAATCTAGAGGTAAACCATATAGATCAAATTTAATTTGAAAGAAAAAATAACTTAAACTAGAATCAAATATAAATGTTATGGATAATAAATATGATGCACAATGATCAATAATTATAAGTGGAATAAAATCAAATGTCCAGCTAAAGCTAAACCAAAGAAAGTAAGTTTTAAAACATTTACTTTAAGTGTATGTTTACTGAGTTGGATTTCTCTTATTAGATAAAATTAAATTATATTTAAATTCAACTAAGTAACTAAGCCAGAGGAGGTTCACAAGGTTCAATTTTAAACTAATTTTTATGAACTGGTATAATATTCATTTGTGAAGGGAAATCTTATTTGTACATGAAATATCATGTACAACTATATACATTATGGTGATGATCTGGTTGTCTTAGTCCACAACAAGTTTAATGGTACAGTTAAAGTTAGAATGGAACTGGCTTTGATTGTAGTGAAAGATCTAATTAAGTCCAAAATAATGAAATTTACTGGCAGACATTTAGATCTATTAGGTCTTCTAAGCATGAAAACTACAAATCTAAATGTGGTGAGTGATGTAAAGTACCTTGAGGTAATAGTAGACTGGATTCTTACTTTGAATCAGCATATACAACAAATAACTGACTATGCTATTGGTAGGCACACTTACACTCATGAAAAATATGGTATTTAAAACCTGACATGTTTTATTGGGTTTATAACATGATGATAAAACAAACAATTACATATGCATATGCATCAAAAAGTGCCATTGTCAAACTAGGGAAGGTGCCAAATAGAAGTCCTTACATTGAATTAAATTCAGAATTTTCTACAACATTTAAAATGTATAGTTTTAATAATCTAAATTTTTTTATTACAAAATCTTAAGCTTATATTACATAGCTACTTATATTACATATAAATAGGTAGGCTTAGATGGGCTCGACATATGTGTGGGACCAAACGAAAATTACCCACCCACCTATCTAGGCGAACCCTATGAGCAGCACAAGTAGGAAATAGGAGTAGAGGTAGACCAAGACTGTGATGGAGGAATGGTGTGGATGAGGAAGATCGGCACAGCAAACTGGTAACAGTTGGCAATGAACAAAAACAACTGGCAAAATAGACTATTCTATTTGGTCACAGAACTATTTGTCAACTATTTGTTAACTGGGAAACTGTTTGTCAACTGATGAGTGTGAATGCCGGCAACATATTTGTATTAAAGAATATTTTGTATGACGGATTGTTCGGTTCGGCGCAATCCCTGTGACGAGACGTGACTGATGTGTCTGAATCGACCTTAAAACGGATATCTCCCAAACTGCCAATGAGAATGCTGTGTTGTGATCACATGACCGAGAAATCAACAATGGCCGCTTGTCTGATGTTAATAATTTTATTTGTGTTTATCACTAGTTTAAACTGTCTTTTTCGCATATTACTAGTTTACAAAGTAGATTCATGGAGTCAAATATATCTGTTAATCCAGGGACGACGGGTAAGAGAGAGATCTAAAAAATGGAAAAAAAAACATCCAGAAAAGACAAAGATAAGTCTAATCATTAAACTAAGAAGCTTAAGCCTATAAAGGGGAAAACCACAATCTTGCAATATTCGGTTGTAAACCACGCTGGCAACAATCTCAAGGGACATTTGCAGGGATGCTTTTCTCAAGGTGTTGCAGCCTATTACTAAGCATATAATTATAGGAGTGTTGAAAGAGTGTGAGAAAAGAGAAGTAAACAAGTTCATCTGTAGTTTTCAAGCTATTGAATCGCATTATTCACAACATCACTCATCACATGTCTACCTACCATCAGACCTGAATATCTTCAAAATATGGAAAATGTTCAATTATGGTAAAGAAGAATCTGAGAAGGTTACTCAGGGATTTTTCAGGAAAATATTTTGCTCAGATTTCAACATTGGATTCTCTTATCCTAGCATGGATTAATGTAGTACTTGCCTAGAATTACAAAGCCTGATACAAGTGGAAAAAACGGAGGAAGAAAAAACGTGTCTAAAAATGAAAATGGAGTTACACAAGAAACAGGCCCAAGCCTTCTTCCAACACTTGCGAGAAAAACCACAAGGATGTTTTATTTTGAGTTTTGATTGTCAGAAGAACCTTGTTTTGCCAAAAGTAACTATCAAAGTGCGTACTATTTACGTCAGTTTAACTGTTATAACCTTTTAGTAGTTAAAGGATTGTCAAATGAATCCCTGAATTCCAGTACTGTCTCAATTTATACCTGGATGGAAGACGAAGCAAAAAAATTATCCAACGAGGTTGCTTCCATTGTATTCAATGAGTTGAGATCAGCTGATCTCTCAGGATATGATTTCATTCGTTTGGTGTCTGATGGTTGCGCTGGATAAAATAAGACTAAATATTTAACCATATGCTGCAAGTTTCTGGATAGCTGTGCTTCAACAAGCATACGAAAAATTGACATATTATTTCCTGTAACAGTGCACTCATTCCTCCTGCCGACAGCGTATTTGAGATCATAGAGAAAACATTTAAAAAAAATCAACAAAATTGTGACAAAAGAAGAATATCATGAAATGTTTAAGAAATATGGTACGATTGGAAGGGATTGGGTACGGTTGGACTGGAAACAAGAAGCCAAAAGTTTTATGAAAAGAGCGGCTCAACTTCATTTCAAAATTTTCATCTGCCAACGAATAGTTCTTCGGAAAACTAAATTTGGAAACATGGAATTTGGAATATTTGGAACATTTGGAACTTGAAATATCGACTGAATGTGACGATTCATGTGAGTGTGAAAATAATAATGCTGATTTTGATAGTGATCTTGTGTTAATTTCTTTATATATTTTTAGTAAAATTCCGTTGTAGGGAGGTACCAATGCAACTTGAATAAAAGCTTGTAAAATATGAATGTTATAAGCATTAAATTTTAAGTTAGGTCCAAACCGAGGGTTCACTCTTTCAAATACAATTTTTTTGGCATCACGAAGGACACCTATTTGGATCAAATATGGACATTTATCCATTTTTGTTCCAAAAGCGGACATCTGTATTTTAAAATAATAATTTTATAATAATTCCATATATTTCTGATATCAGAATGTCTACAAGATTACTTTTGAAGCCTTCACTAAAATGAGAGGAAGTGAGATTTTTATAAAAAGAATAATAGCAGTTGTGAAAATAAAACAATTTATTTAAATTTTTCTTGCATGACACATGTCCGTATTTGATTAGAAGCCACTCATATTATTACTGACATATTTTTTTATAACTTCTAAGCTTATTTTTTCCTTATGTTATGTAGTTTAATTTTGCTTAGAGCAAAAAGTACAATTTGTTGAGTTTGCTTTTTATTTTAGGATTTCTCAAGAAGGAGCAAGGAATAGAAATTATCAAAGCCCGATCTAATAGTTCATGTAATGAAGAACAATATATGAATGAGCAGCCTGAAGAAAAAACAATAAACTGTACTATTAGTTTTAAGCAGTTTTCATCTAAGGTTATTTTAAAAAAGCATATATATTTGCATAGAAGACAATTAAAATGTGAGGTTTGTTTTAAACAGTGTGTTTGTATACCTCATTTAAACAGACATTTAAGGTCACACTGGTGAAAAGCCTTTTAAATGTTCAATTTGTCCTAAACAATTTGTTGTAAAGTCTGATTTATGTAAACATATTCGTTATCACACTAAAGGCAAAACTTACAAATGCGACATTTGTTTTAAGTTGTTTGCTCCAACCAGTAGTCTAAACACACATATGTCAGTGCACACTGGAGAAAAACCTTATGAATGTGAAATTTGTTTTAAACACTTTTCTCGAGTATGTGATTTGAAAAGACATGTAAATACATGAAATTTGTTTTAAGTCTTATGCCGAAGGTTAATTTGTATGAACATATGAAAATACATTCAGAAAAATTTAAACATACAGTAAATAAAAGATATCTTGATATAATGTTTTCTGAACAAGACAAAATCTTTTAGTGTTTTATGCAAAAACATATATAATCCAAGATGTGTATCTTTCTTTTAACAACCCTCATTTTGAGAAATATATGAAAAATGAACAAATGAAAAATATTTAATTGTAAAATTAGCCACCCATGAAAGGTAGTAGATTTTGAATAAACTTTCAGACTTGCAGAGTATAATTAAAATAAGTGTAAATAATTATTTGAGAAAGTAAAACACCGTTCCATGTGCAGAACAGAATGACAACTTCTTTTTTATTACTGTCATGGTAGCCAACCTGATTTACAATATGTTTGGGGATCAGGATAGGCAACATTTCAATACCTCTCTCAATTTATACAACATTTATAAAAGTATTAAATTTGGATAAATTGTCAACTACATAAACAAAAATAATCTTAATAATTGAACAAAATTAAATTGCACAAAAAGAAATAATAATAATACTAGTTCATAATACAACTGAACAGTTTACAACTTATATCTACATATTGAAGTATTCATAAACTTTCCAATAACTCAAAAAACATTGACATAAGATGACAAAATAAAATACATGATTCACATGAATACCTAAAGTATAAATGCACCAATTTACAATATATAAACAGTAATTAAGCTTTAGTTACTTTCAACATTCTTGAATTTTTATCATATTTCTGAGACGTAAAAATATTTCATTTGAAGGAGCTTTAGTGAAAATATCGGCACAATTTGATTTTGTATTTATGTACTGTAAGGTAATTACATTGTTTTCAATTAGATTTCGAATGAAATGAAATGATATTTTGTGTCGATATGCTTAGACCTTAGAAACCCAATTTTGATTGCCCATTTGTCGAATCGTTGGTTCCAGCATTTAGGTGATTCCCTCAGTCCATACAAAGCCTTTTGCAGTTTCAGAACTTTGCTTTGTCCTGTGTATCCCTTAGGACAATGAATATAAACTTCATGTTGTAGCACTCCGTTAATGAATGCTGAAGGAATGTCTAACTGGTATACCTTCCAGTCGTTATTGAGAGCTAGTGACAATAAAATTCTAACACTTGCCATTTTTGCTACAGGTGAATATATATCTAAAAATACTTCTTCTTCATATCCCTTAGCGACTAAGCGAGCTTTTTTCGTGCCATCACTTTTTGTTTTAAATACCCATTTTGTATTTATGATTTGTTGATTATTAGGTACCTTTGTGGCTTCAGTCCAGGTGTCCATTTTTTCGAGACATTCAAGTTCTGTTTCGATTGCCTGCTTCCATTCATCACTCTCCACTGCTTCTTCATAAGTACTGGGGTTGATGTAACTAAACAATATGCATAATAAAGTTCATAGTCTTTGAACTTCGAAGGTGGTTTTATTTCTCTATTAAAGAAACTAGTTTTGGTCGTTTGTACATTTACTGGTTCTTCATCTTGTGAATTACTTTCAGTGATATTTCTTAATGTTTTGACTCTACTATCTTCATAAATTGTCTCTTCCAATATTTCCAATTCATCTTGGCTTGGTAAAATTTCCTCAGTATTTTGATTATTAGACAATATTTCTGAAGAATATTTATATTGTGATTCATCGAAAACCACATCTCTTGAAATTTTAATTTGGTTAGTCAGTGGATTCCAGATTCTATAGCCAGCACCACTGTAGCCGACCATTACACCTTTACTTGCCCTTGGTTCTAATTTACTTTTCTTTGGTAGGTTGTACCATACTTTTGAACCAAAAACTTTGAGTTTAGACAAGTCAAGCCTATTCAAGTATATTTCTGCTGGTACTTGAAGTTCAATTGCTCGTGATGGGGTTCGGTTGAGCTGATAAACAGCTGTTCTAACTGCTTCTCCCCACATACTCTTAGGAAGATTTGTTTCAACAAACATAGCTCTTACCTTGTCTAAAATAGTACGATTAAATTGTTCTGCTATACTATTCTGCTGAGGTGTGTACCTAGCTGTAAATTCTTGCACTATACCATGTTGTACACAATAGTTTTTAAACATTTTAGAAGACATCTCTCCTCCCATATCCATTATTATTCTAGATACTCTCCTTCCTTCTGCTGCTAATTTTTCAATGTGATTAATAAGATGCGACTCACTCTCGCATTTTCTTGTCATTAAATATACAACACTAAAATGTGATTTCACTTTATTTAAATGAAAATTTGCAACAAATAAATTACTTTTGTGTTTACAACAAATAAGTTTGAAGTGATTTTTTCTTATTTCAGCCGTATTTTCTTTAAACACAACTGTGAAACCCAAATTGTTTAGTTTAATAACTGATAATTGATTATATTCTAGATTATTTAATATGAGTACATCAATGTTGATAGGAATTTCATTATAATAAACTTTTAACATACCTTTTTTACAAGAATTCATTATCCTTCCATTTGCTATTTTAATGCCAACAGTCTCAATTTCAACAATGTTACTTATAAATTGTTCATATTTACCACTGCACATATTTTGTGATGCTCCGGAATCTATTATAAATGAAATTTGGTTGTCATCATTCTTGAGATCTTCAGCTGATAGGGCTGTGATAAAACTTACTTCATCTTCAGCTACTTTGGCATGGATATTATGCTTACTTTGTGTATTATTACCAGTTCTTCTGCCACGGGAATAGTTATTTCCACGAAAAAATCTACCTTTACTGCTGTTAACTCTATAATTATTGTTTTTTCTGAAACAATTGGACACTAAATGGCCTTCAAGTCCACAAAATGAGCAACGGGGTTTTTTATTATCTTGTTTTGTATAAAACGAGGATTCTTCGCTTACTGTTTCATTGTTTTTCAACTTCAGTTCTGCATCAAGTAATTTTGCTTTAACAAAATCAACAGTTAACTTGTCATTTGACGTTTCTAATACAGTAATGACAGTGCCGAACGTATCTGTCATTGTTAACAACAGGTGACAAACCTTATCATCTTCTTCTATTGTGGTTCCAGTGGATTCGAGGTCACATATTAAACAATCGAACTCAACGAAAATCTTTTGTAACTCTGTACCTTGTTTATATTTCAAGGTTAATAACTTTTTTCGCACATATAAACGAGAAAGAATACTTTTTCTTTCAAAAACTTTTTCTAAATTTTTTATCATTTCGAAAGCTGACTTACAATCACGAATATATTCTAAATGTTCATCTGTAATGCATGTGACAATAATAGATCTCGCTGTTGCATCATGCTTTTTATGCTGAGATTGCTCGTCTCTTGATAAAACTGCTAGTTGCGTTGCAGTTACTTCTGTGGTAATCAAATCTTTAACACCTCTGGCATCTATAAGATTGCCTAATCTAAATTTCCAGGATGAAAAATTCGTAGATGTTAATTGCGGATACAAACTCACAAATTGGGAACACTAAACAAAAGCTTTACTTGTTATGGAATGTACTCTGGGCCCATAACCTTTTGAATAAACTTTCAGACTTGCAGAGTATAATTAAAATAAGTGTAAATAATTATTTGAGAAAGTAAAACACCGCTCCATGTGCAGAACAGAATGACAACTTCTTTTTTATTACTGTCATGGTAGCCAACCTGATTTACAATATGTTTGGGGATCAGGATAGGCAACATTTCAATAGTAGAAACTGTTTTTTTTTATTTACCAAGGAAACAAAAATAATGGAATTCTTACAAGCATTGTATAATATTTCAGTTTGAAAAAATTCCTCTTTTAGTCAGAAACTAGCAGTACATGGGATATTAGCTATTTATTCAAATGTGAATTAAAAGGAAATAAACTGCATCGGTACACAATGCTCCCAACTCTTAGTTCTCCGAGAGGAGCCATTGAAAGACAATTTTGATTGAAGAAATTATTTCTATGAACACATGATATGTTAGACAAGAATGAGATCTCATGAACATTGTTTTATTTTCTGATGAGTATAATTTTACACTTCATTGACATGCTAATTATCAAAATTGTAGCAGCTAGTGTACAGATAATCTGGACTGGATGAGAGAACATACATAATACCCTGGAAAGGTTAATATTTGGACAGGAACATTTCATTGATGCCTTTTTCATTTATGTCAAATTGATTTAAAATAGCTATTAACAGTGTTCGAAACTAATATACCAACTTTACCAAACTTTCACAGAAAATGATATGGATTTACCGATATAAAGCACTATGATGTATTATAATTCAATAAGCTCTAGTACGACCGGTTTGTAACAAAGGGTAATTCTATTTCTTGCAGATCTAAAGTTGCCTGTTTTGTTTATTTATACTATCTAGAAACATAATTTTAGGGGAAATAAGCAAAATATCATATCAAATATTGATCATAGTTATTCTTAATGGAACCCGAGAGCAAGATAAGATAAAGTTTTAGACACTCAAAGGGCAAGTTATTGGGCCCAATTGCTCCTTTTATGAGATCTTGGTATCAACCAGCACTCTTCCCCTTCGAAGGCGTGGGTTATGAGTTTACAGATAAGTCACCGTACGAAGTATGGTTTATAGTAAGATAGTAGCCTAAAATACGAAGTTACCCATTCGATTTTGGGTTTATTTTCAAGTATTCCTTTGAATTATTCATTTCAACGATTAATATTAATTAAATTTAATTTTCACAATTATTCAGTCCTAGGAATTGCCAATCCCTCGTTTTGTATTTAGGAGAGGTAGAGGTAGATTAGATAGTCCTTATTTCGCTAGAGAAGTTAGGAAGAGGTAGAGGGTGGCTTAGGAAGCTCTTTCATTGGCCTGTTCGAAAAAGTGACCATAGAGCAATTTGTAAATTGACTACAATAAAAAAAAGAAATCAGTTTGTTTATGATTGTCCACACAGCTATTTCAAAAATTTGATCTGACTTTTCTGAATTGTTTTTATATATGTTAAATTAATATTATCTGATTTAATTGTTGTTAAATTACTTGATTTACTTAATTTACTTCAACTATAGTGATGACAAGTTTTTGATATTTAATTGTATCATTTACCGTTATATCATATATTTCTGGTGTTTAATAAATAGTTATTAAACAGAACTGTTTGTTTTAATTTGAATTAAACCCAGCTTATAATTAGCATTTAATAACTTAACAGAAATTTAGGTAAGTTGCCCAAGTTTTCTTGTTAAATTATTTTTGGGTATAGGTTCCACTTCCGAATAACTTATTTTCGTTTTAACTGCTTGTTATATTAACCTATAGGTGAGCGGTTTACCGCTATGTTTCGCTGCCCTGAACCAAAGAATATAGACGCTACTACCACTAAAGTACCAAATAATTTTTGCCTGAACCCTCGGGAATGAGGGAAGGTGGTCCAGTCGCACTATCCATAGCTTGATTGGACCGGAGCAGGCAGGGGTCACGGTCCGTGGACATACAGGTCGTATATGTCCAAAGCTAGATGGAAATACCTTTTTAAAACGCAATAAAAGTATTAAATAATACCAAGAATCTGCAAGAAATGTGTTAATTAGTCTTAAAACTAAGAATCTGCAAGAGAAATGAAAAGAAGATGAGGTCCATGAAATTGCAGTCGATTTCGTAAAAATATGATAAATGTGTTTGTCGTGGGGACTTCGGGAATAAACAACAATCACATGATACGAAATATTACCACAAAATGAGTTATTAGTTTGTAAATTTTCGCAAAGTCGATGAAACCTATGGAAAAAATGTAAAAATATATAAAAGTTATTTTATACATGAAAATATTTTAAAGTTCCTAAAGAAAAAAAAAGGAACTTCAGAGAATCTGAAAGAGAAATAAAAATAGAAAAAATTTTACAAAATAAAGTTAACATTCCTAGTCCGTTTATGGACTTAGAATGAGAAAATAAAAGTAGAAATGATTTATGAAATTATTCTAAATCAAAAATAAAGATTTTTACGAAAATATTTTTAAAAATCTGAAATAAATCGAAATTAAATATTTGGTGAAAATATTCTAGTCGCCGCGAAAAAGTCGAAATATAACTAGAAAATGAGAAATAAAATACGAAATTGTACTAAGTCAAAAATCCAAATCGAAAAAAAATTCGAAATAAAATATTTTACGAGAAATATTTAAAGTCGAAAATACTTAAAATAAATAAAATTAAATATTGTTATTCTACTGTCCAGCTAGGGAACTTGCAAAAAATCCTGCAATAGACCAGACAGCCCATGGACGTCCGAAGGATGTACCTCATTAAATGTTCGGACATCCGTTTTCATAATTTGGACGTCCCCGGGACTTCCAATAAGACCTAAATGTTACCAAAAAGTACGTCGCAGGGATGTTCATGGGGACGTACATAGTATATATACAGAACTTAATACGGACTTATATAGGACCTAAGAAGGATGTATTGGGGACATCCATTGTACGTCCACATGGACTAATACAGGACCTAAATGAGGATGTATACAGTACCTTACAAAAAACTAATTAAATGAAAAGCAAAATAAATGGGATTTTTATTATGTACCTATATTAACATATTATTATGTATTTAAAATAAAAAAAATTAAGTTCTAGCCCGCTCTGGGCAACGTCTAAGCCATGTTTTTATTGCAATTTCGGTTTCTTTTATTGAACCGGCAACTTTTGCTTTTTCGGCTGCATCTGTAAATAATGAAACTACTTGAAAATATATGATCACTGGTTCTTAATATGTAATTTCAATGAATTATTAAATTATTAATTTCAAATCAAAGAGGTTTCAGATAAATAATTTTTTTGTGTTGAAAGTGAATTTTTTTTTAAATAAAGTAATAATTCAATAAAATTTTCTCATTTTAAAAACAGATATATGTACTAAACAAAACTTTATATCTTACCTATTAAAACTTTAGCTTCATTTAGCTAAATATCTATATCAAAGAATACCTATCTATATTCTTTGATAGAAGCGTCGTTAAAACGTATCCACATTACATTCTTCTTTCATCTTCTAATTTTTAAATTTCAGTTAGACTACAGAACAAAATTTTTGAGATACGGCTCTGCTATAGGATAAGGATTTTTCTTTAAAAGGGGCCTCTGTCTGTTTTCGTATAAATTAATGGTATTTAAAACTAAATATTACTTTTTAAAATAAAGTTTAGGAGGAAGATATTATATTTTGTAAAAAATATGCTTAAGTAAAAAAATGACACAGTTACCATCTAGAAAACATCCCTAATGCGACGTCCCTCGGTCGACCTTATGGGACGTCCCTGTTATGTCCGACTAGAAGTATCCCTTTTTTGTCCCTCGGAAGTCCATAAGAAGTCCCGGGACGTTTGGACCTTACAATGGCATAAAATAGACGTCCTAGGGATGTCTTGTGCTGTCTGGGAAGGACAGCGGTTAGATAATAAACCTATATTTATACAGAATTAATTAGGTCAACTGCTCTATGGCGCTCTGCCATTGGAGCTGGCACAACAGCCAATACTCAATTTCGGAAAATACCGTTGGCTGCAATTATGGTTGCAATTTGACCAATCGTAAAACCGGAATTGAGCTATTGGCGACATCAGGGCATAAACCGGCTATTTTTTTTTTGCATTTCTACCACACCAAACCGTTTTTTTTTTGATTCTATATATTTTTTCAAATTCAAAATTTTTTTTTTATTATGTTTTGCAAGTGGGCCGGTAATTGTTATTAATAAAAACAATTTTCCGAATCGCTTTGAGTAAATTTTTTTTAGGCGTACCTATCTCATCGAAGTAAATAGTAAATACTTTTTCTCTGGGTAATTTTTCGAAAAATGCTTCCTTTTTGAGTCATTTGTATTATGTTGTTGCAAAATACCCTAATTAGTAATTTTTGGGATTTTTTTTTCTAAAAAACTACTAAATTTATTACAATTATATAGAAAGCTTTATAATTTTTAAACCTTTATCTATACGTAAGAATATTTTGACAAGGATAAATGGCTTATATCTTGCTGAAAACAGGGAACCAAATATTTTGAATATTCATTTCAAGCAATATATCCCTGTATAGGATAATAAGTGTGTACAGTTGCGACGATAGAATCGGCGGTTTTAGAATTTAGAATTTTTTAAAGCGTATCTCATCGAAGTAAATACTTTTCTCTCTTAATAATTTTTCAAAAAATGCTTCCTTCCGAGTTATTTGCAATTTTTTGTTGAAAAAATTCCTCCGTGATTCTTGGAATTTTTTTCTCAAAACCTAATAAATGAATTACAATTCTATACAAAGCTTTATATTTCAACCTTCACGTACAAGTAAAAATATTTTCACTAAAATAAGTGGGTTCTATCTTGCGTAAAACAAAGTTTTAAACTCTAAAAAGATTTCTAAGCTTAGTGCGCCCGTATCGCCGCAACCGTACATGCTTATTATTGTTTACAGCATGGATGCACAGACAGCGGGCCGCATGCGGCCCGCCGGCCGAATACTGGTGGCCCGCCGACAGCAAAAATAATACACTTGTACATTCGAAAACTATCTATCTATCTAATCAGCCTTAAAGGCCCACTCTTGGGCATAAGCCTCCCTGTTAGTCTTCATTGGTCTCTATTTTGGGCGATCTGCATCCAGTCCTTTCCTGCCGTTCTCTTAAGATCGTCAGTCCATCTCATCTGTGGTCTTCCTCTTTTTCTTTTCTTTTCCCATGGTCTCCAGTGTAGAATTCGCTTATTCCATCTTTCATCTTTTTGCTGGAGAGTGTGACCGGCGTCACACTCTTCATTAATAAGTTCCATTTAAGTTTTGCAACCTGTCTTTGTTTTTTCTCTGATCCATGAGTTTTTTTCCTGTCTTTAAGAACGATACCCAGCATCTGTCTTTCCATTGCTCTTTGTGTTTTGGATATCGTGTCGATGTTCTCCTTTGTAAAAGTCCATGTTTGTGAGCCATATGTGATACCTGGTAAAATGCACTGGTTGAATATTTTAGTTCGCATATATTGAGGAAAATTTTTATTTTTTTAGAATATATGATAGTTTACCAAATGAGGCCCATGCTAGTCTAGTTCTTCTTTTTCGAATACTATTGAATTCTATTCCAGAATAAAACCAAAAAAAAATAATGTTCGAAAAGTCATTTGAATCTCGCGCGCGCTATTTAAATCTAGTGCCCAAAAATGCTTAGTTACAGTTACACGTCGATTTAATATTGCAGTGTTAACCCGTTAAGTGCCGTGTATAATTGTGTTGTAAAATCGTAAGTAAAACTCTGTTATTAATAAGTATTTCCCTACCTATTTAATCAATTTTAATCGAATTTAGCTTTAATATTGGCCAAATATTAAAATAAAACAAAGAAATTACTATTTTTATCAGAATTTCTCTAATTGTAATAATTACGTCATTATTTCAGATATAAAATCTGTATAAAAATCTTAAAATTTTTTAGGAATAATATTCAATCAATTATTTTTGATAATTAAAAAAAGGATGGGTAATTTAACTAGGTCTTGTAATTGTTTTCAGGTGCTGTGTTAATCCTAGCCAGGATTAGAACGCAACATGGAGAAGCCAGGACCTAGTAAAAAGCGTAAGGTTAAAGATGAAAATCGGCAGTTTCAAGAAATTTGGACTGAGAAATACCTTTTTCTTCAAACGTCAAATAATGATGACATTACTTATCTAACTTGATCCTGTCAAAGTTTGATGTCTCCGCCGGCAGCAGTTGTTTTTCCCATTTCTTTACGGAGGGAAAAATGTTGTCATGACAACAATATGAATCATGTCACAAAGCAACAATACAAATGTCATTAACAACAATTAAATATCATTTTTATTTATAGTAATATTAAAAGTACAATTAGTTAATGAGGCATTTTCAAAATTGAAACCGTGCAAAAATGTTTCCGACTCTTGATACGCATTGGTAATTGTTGATGATACTGATGGTGGATACACCTGATTATTTACAAAATATCCCACTTTGTTCTTTGGGTTTACATCACACTAAATTTCTTCCTCAGTTTCTTGCAATATCGCCTTAAAGTTGGCTCGGGGATATTAAAAACTTTGGCAGTCCTTCTTATTGATTTTCCTTATATTTTATCTCCCTAACTGATCTTATAATTTTAT